TAAAGATTTTATTTATTTATTTGAGAGAGAGAATGAGAGACAGAGAGCACAAGAGGGAAGAGAGTCAGAGGGAGAAGTAGACCCCCCGCTGAGCAGGGAGCCCGATATGGGACTCAATCCCGGGACCCCAGGATCATAACCTGAGCTGAAGGCAGTCGCTTAACCAACTGAGCCACCCAGGCGCCCTGCAAAACACTTTCTTAAAAAATTGTGGTAAAATAGGGCGCCTGGGTGGCTTAGTTGGTTAAGCGACTGCCTTCGGCTCAGGTCATGATCCTGGAGTCCCTGGATTGAGTCCCGCATCGGGCTCCCTGCTCGGCAGGGAGCCTGCTTCTGCCTCTGACCCTCCCCCCTCTCATGTGCTCTCTCTCTCTCTCATTCTCTGTCTCAAATAAATAAAAAAAAAAAAAATTGTGGTAAAATATACATAATGTAAAATTTATAATTTTAACCATTTTTAAGTGTACAGTTCAGTGACCTTAAGTACATTCACATCATTGTGCAACCCATCACTACCATCCATCCACAGAACTCTTTCATCTTGCAAAACTGAAACTCTGTATCCATTAAACAATAACTCCTAATTCCCCCTTTCCCTACCTAGCTCCTGGTAATCACAATTTCTGTTTCTATGAATTTGACTACTCTAGGTACCTCATGTAAGTGAAATCATACCGTATTTGTCCTTTTGTGACTGGTTTATTTCACTAGCATGTATCTGATTTTCCTTCTTTTTCAAGGCTGAATAATATTCTGGTGTATGTAAGATACTTGGTGTATGTATGTGATTTTGTTTGCCTTCTCCTAATAGTTAATGATGTTAAGCATCTTTTTGTGTGTTTATTGGCACATGAAAGAAAATAAAATATATCATTTTTGGAGAAATGTCTATTTAAATCCTTTGCTGTGAGCTATGTCTTCTTATTGTTGAATTGTAAGAATTTTTGTATATTCAGGATACTAGTCCCTTGTTACTTAAAAGATTTGCATATATTTCTTCTATTCTGTGGGTTTTCTTTTTACTTTCTTTTTTTTTTTTTTAAGATTTTATTTATTTATTTGAGAGAGAGAGAGAATGAGAAAGAGCACATGGGGGGG